TGGGAGGGGGGAACTCCTGTGTGCCTGGCCAATGGGAGGGGGAACCCCGTGTGCCTGGCCAATGTGGGGGGGAAGGAAACCCCTCTGTGCCTGGCCAATGGGAGGGGGGAACTCCTGTGTGCCTGGCCGAGAGGGGGGCATTAATCCCACAGCATCCGGCACAGGCAATATCTGGCCGTCCCTGGCGCACTCTGAGGGGAAGAGCCCCCCCTCCCCAGCTGACTCTGGGACTCAGGTGGGGCGGGAATCCCGGGCTGGCAAACTCCGGGCCTGGGGGAAACTCCCTGTCCTTGGGGTGAAGCGTAAACACTCCCCGTCCGGCAGACCCAGGGAGGACCTGCAGGAAGCTCTGGATCCGGCCACCAAACTGATCCTTCCCCTTCCCACACAGCCCTGCCCCAGGCTGGCACGCCCATGGCCCCGGGGCCCCCAGGTTCTGGCCCATTTACAAACCCTGCTGTCTCCACCTGGCTTCCCTCTCTCCCTAGTTTGTCACTCACAATCTTTGGGAACATTTCTCCCCCTCCCCCTCCCTGCACACTCAGGGACAGGACATGAGCCCCCAGCCCCTACCCCCACCCCTCATGGTGGGGTTCCTCTCCCATCAACTACCACATGCCCGGCCAACTCCCCCTCTCAAAGCAAAGGGGCTGTCCCCCATCCCCCCTGCATAACATGCTTCCCCAGCGATGTCCACCAGCCCCCCCAGGAACAGGCCACCCCACAACTCCTAACTCACCCGCACTGCTGGGCCCTCAGGCTGCCTCCTCCAGCCCAGGAATGTCAGTGGCGCAGCGGAATTGCCCCTAAGGCTATGGCTGAGTGGCACTAAAAGGCCCGCAGCAGTGAGTCGCAGAGCCCAGGTCAACTGACTCAGGATCACCGAGCTCGGGCTGCGGGGCTAAAACTAGCAGTGGAGACGTTCAGGCTCGGGCTGAAGCCTGGACTCTGAGACCCTCCCCTCTCGCCGGGTTTCAGAGCCCGGGCTCCAGGCTGAGCCCGAACGTCTACGTGGCCCAGATGTTTGTGTGCTAGAAAATCTGTGGAAAGCGAACACAAAATGGACACAAGGTTCACGGTGACTAGCTACTCAACACAATGAATATTAACAACCAGGGGGAAGGAACGCAAGCCGAAACAGGGAAAGAACAGGTTAAAGAATATTTGGATAAGTGAGATGCATTCAAGTTGGCAGGACCTGATGAAACCATTAGTCGAAACCCATTTCAGAACTGACGAAGCGTCTGACGAAGTGGGCATTCACCCACAAAAGCTTATGCTCCAATACATCTGTTAGTCTTAAAGGTGCCACAGGACCCTCTGTTGCTTTTTACAGATCCAGACTAACACGGCTATCCCTCTGATACATTTCAGAACTGTTAGCAACTCTCTTGGAGAACTCCTGGCGGACGGGTGAGGTCTCAGAGGACTGGAGAAGGGCAGACATAGCACCTACCTTTCAAAAGGGGAACAGAAAGGGGAACAAAGTGGACCAGGGAATCAGAGACCAGTCAGCCAAATTTCAAGACTGGAACAAATGATTAAACAATCAGTTTGTAAGCATGTGGAGGATAACAGAGTTATAAGGAATAGCCAGCATGGATTTATCAAGAACAAATCATGCCAAACCAACCGAATTTCCTTCTTTGACAGTGTTACTGGCCTAGTGGAGGGGGGAAGCAGTAGATGTGATATACCTTGATGTTAGTAAGGCTTTTGACACAGTCCTACTTGACATTCTCATAGGCAAACTAGGGAAATGTGAGCTAGATGAAATGACTATAAGGTGGGTGCACAACTGGTTAAAAGGCTGTGCTCAAAGAGCAGTTATCAATGACTCACTGTTAAACTGAGAGGGGGGATCTAGTGCGGTCCCACAGGAGTTCCACAGTGGTTCTGGTGCTATTCAATATTGTCATTCATGACTTGGATAATGGAGTGGAGAGTATATAAAATATCAAATATGCAGATGACACCAAGCTGGGAGGGGTTGCAAGCACTTTGGAGAATTCAAAACTGGCCTCGATAAATTGGAGAATTGGTCTGAATTCAACAAGATGAAATTCAATACAGACAAGTGTAAAGTACTTCATTTAGGAAAAATTAAAAGCACAGCTATAAAATGGGGAATACCTGGCGAGGTGAGAAGGAGCTGGAGGTTACAGGGGATCACACATTGAATATAAGTCAACAATGGGACACAGCTGCAAAAAGGCTAATATCATTCTGGGTGTATTAACAGGAGTGTCATAGGTAACACACAGGAGGTCATTGTCCCATTCTCCCCGGCACAGCTGACGCCTCAGCTGGAGAACTGTGTGCAATTCTGGGTCCCACACTTTAGGAAAGATGTGGACAAATAGGAGAGTCAAGAGGAGAGCAACAAAAATGATAAAAGGTTTAGAAACCTGCTCTATGAGGAAAGGTTAAAACACTGGACATGTTTAGTCTTGAGATAATAAGGCTGACGGGGGGGACCTGATAACAGTCTTCAGATGTGTTAAGGGCTGTTCTAAAGAGGACGGTGTTCTGTTGTTCTCTGTGCCCGCTGAAGGTAGGACAAGAAGTCAGGGGTTTAATCTGCAGCAAGGGAGATTTAGGTTTGATATTAGGAAAATCTTTCTAACTATAAGCTCTGCTGTGGGCATCCAAGGGGGGTTGTGGAAGCCCCGTCACTGGTGGGTTTTGGACAAACACCTGTCAGGGATGGTCCTGCCACAGCGCCGCTGGGGACTGGACTTGATGACTTCCCGAGGTCCCTTCCAGCCCGACATTCCTAGGATTATAAACCAACAGCCTGGGAAGTAAGGCAAAAAGCAAATGAACTGGTAACTGGTTCCAAATTTTTTTTCAACTTTCTTTTAATTTATATTCAGGCAACTGCCAACAATGAACAACGCGCCAGCAGGGAGTGGCTCAGACCTGATGTACAATCCTGGGTGAAAACAGGCACCCCTCATATAAGAGAGAGAAACATGCACCTGTTCTCACTGCCCTGGTGGTGTGGACAGGATTAAGACCCCCCCTCTCCTGTATTGGGAGATGACTGTATTCATATTATCCATTTGGACTGGGGTCAAAACACGCCTCTATACCAGGTAACCTTGGTGCAGGGCAATGGGAAAACCCAGCCACCACGCAACAGTAAACAGAGGAAATGTTAGAGCGAGTCTGTAAAATCAACTGGGAAGAAACAGCCATTGAAATACCAGAGGCTGGCAGCTCTGGAATACCGTTCTCAGCTCGGACCCCTGCAGCACCCACACCGTGCCCAAGACGGTCTGTCGCTGAGAGTCCTGGCTGACACGGGCCCTTCCCCCACATCCCCAGAACCACTTTTGGATTGACCCACAGAATGGGCATCTACCTATATCCCCCATCTCCCATCTCCCCTCCCAACTCCCCCTATTGTTCCATGTCTTTTCAGGGGAGGAAAGTCAAACGCCCCAGTACATCCTGGACTGATATTCCCCGTAACCGCCCTGTACTGAACTACAAGCTATAAACTTCTAACACACAAAGAAACTGTCAAAAGGCCCTCATGCAGTCAGTGCTCCCCGGTCGGCTGCAGAAAGGATCGGGCCATGCAGGCTCTGCCTTCCCAGGACTCCCTGCGGTGCTGGAGGCTGTCCCGTTTCTAGGGGCTGAGCCGTGGGTGGGTTGCCTGGTGTCGCACCAGCGCGTGCTTGAGCCGGAAGCTTTTCCCACATTCGAGACAGAGGTGGGGCCTCTCGCCCGTGTGGATGCTCCGATGTCTGTTCAAATCCTTCTTCTGCCGGAAGCTTTTCTCACAGTGGCTGCAGGCAAAGGGGCTTTCTCCCGTGTGGATCCTCCCGTGTCGCAGAAGATCCTGCCTCTTGCGGAAGCCTTTCCCACACTCCTTGCAGGTGTGGGGTCTGGCGCCCGTGTGCACCTTCCGGTGGGCATTGAGGTTCGACACGTGGCTGAAGCATTTCCCGCACTCAGTGCAGGGGTAGGGTCGCTCTCCCGTGTGGGTGCGCTGGTGCTTTCGGAGGTCTTGGCTCTGCTTGAAGCGTTTCTCACAGGTGCCGCAGGGGTAGGGCCTCTCCGCCGCATGGGTTCTCTGGTGGGCGGCGAGATGCGCCAGCTGGCTAAATCCCTTCTCGCACTGGGAGCACAGGAAGGGTCTCTCTCCTGTGTGGGTTCTCTGGTGGCTCATAAGCTCTTGTCTCAGGCAGAAGCTTTTCCCGCAGTCCATGCAGGGAAAGGGCCGATCCCCCAAGTGCGTCTTCTGGTGTCTCGTAAGCCCTGCCATTTGGCTGAAGCTTCTCCTGCAGTCCAGGCAGCTGTAGAATCTGTCTCCGGTATGGACTCCCTGATGTCTGGCCAGATCCTTCTTCCGCAGGAAGGTTTTCCCACATTCCCAACATTCATGCGACTTCTTCTGACCATGAAACCTGCCCAGGCTTTGGAAGAAGATCTTCCCCTTCAAGCTCTGCTCACAGGCCGAGCAGCTGGGCACCTTCCCACGGACCTTGGCTCCCACCTCTGAAGAGGACACCGCGTGCTTCCTGGAGCCCTTTTCGCTCTCCCTTGGACTGTCCGGCTCCTTCTCTGCTGGGATTCTCTTGGGGGGTTGCAACTTGCGCCGTCTCTTGTAGGTTCTTCCTCAGCTTGAGCTCTGGAAAACTGTCTCTTCACCATCTCCTGGTGGCATTGTTTGCAGATCCGGGGTCTCAGGCCCCTCCTCCGGGTGCTGCTCCTCAGCTCCGTTCATGTCTCCTCTGCTGTATTTCCCAGAGGCGGTTTTCTCTCCACCCCCCCCCCCTCCTTTTTCACCGTCTCTCCTAAGCAGCATGGGAACCCAATAAGACAGCGTGAGCCAAACTCCCAAAGCCAATGCAAGACGGAGAAAATTCTTCTAATAAAAAGGGTTTAAAAACCACCAACACAACCGCCTGGAAGTGACCTCCTGGGTAGCTGGGTGGGAGACAGCGGGCAACAGAAACGAGGGGACCCCTTCCATTGCAAGGGCGTCAGGGCACTTTGCAATAGAACGGAAGGCTCAGAATCTGGGCTGCGCGAAGTAAGCAGAAGATTGCTGGGGTGCAGTGAGACAGCTGGAGACCCAGCTGCACCAGCCCAGCGGAGGCCGGGTTCTTCCTATCCCTCGACCCCATGGGGAAGGAAACCTTGGAAATTCTAGTAATAAAATCCGGAGTAACAACAATCGGTGCTCACCCAGGGCTGGGGAGCTGGGCACTAGTCTGAAGAGAACAAATTGAAATGTCCCAGGACAGCAGCACGACAGGCCCTGCTGCACAGTTTGACTCACCTGGATCTCACAGCAGACAACCCAAGGAAAGACTTAAGGACCCGGAAACACTAAGGGGAAATCAGAGGTTTGCAGAGCACCCTGGGAGTTACCAAGTTGGAACAGGAATTTGGAAAGAAAAAGGCTCTGGTAAGACAAATACTTCATCTGACCTTCCTGCCCCTTCGCACCATAGCCCAAACCCCAGACGGGACTGCAGGCTCAGAGGGGAGCCTTCCTGCTCACAAGGTGTGGAAAGCTGCTGCATTTGGGGGAGAAGATCTCCTGCCGTTCCATGGAGGGCTGGAGAGATGAACAGAGTGGGGAGCTAAGCAGGTAACTTACCCATAATTTCACCAGTATGATGAAGCTCCAGAATTCAGCCCAAGAAAAGAGACTGACTTAGCCAGACTAAGCCCGTGTCTTGGGATTTGGGACCAACCACCAATCAGAACCGGTCAGGGCCAAGCCAAGAGCAAGGAGGGAGAAGAGAAATCACAGCCCAAGCTCCCATAATGGAGGAGCTGAGAAAGTCTGTGTATCCGGCATATCCAAATGACAGCACAGACCCCCAGAATACACTGGCAATGGGCCAGTCAAAGGCACCTCAGTAGGTATAGGACTCATCAGGGAACACATTTAGAGCAGAGAGGGGCGCATCTGTGAGCTCAGTTAATGACAGGACATCCCCGAGTAACAGGAAATTGCTGGTGAATTGGGAGGGCTCAGCATGGTAGGAAAGATTAGCGACTGACAGGAAGACAGGAAAGTACAAGGCTCCCTGAAGGTGCCCAGCAGAGGCTGTGACGTTATGAATGTAATATCCAGATGTACAGGACCTTCCCTCTTAACTTGTGTATATTTAATTTTAAACATTAACTTTAATAAAATATTTAAATCTGTTCTTATCAGTTTAATATCTCATTGAAAGGTGACAGGGCCAGAAAGAGTTAATTAACTCACAGACTGACCTGCCCCATGGCCGAACTTCAGAGACTGGTTAGGAAGATGTGTAAATGAATAGAGCTTTGAAATGCAGCCGGCATTGTTAGAGGTAGAAGGGGAGATGTTTGCTCAGGGCTTGTGATGTAAGTAAACAAGTCTTGTCTATTGCTACAGCTTTGATTCAAAGATCAAAAAAGGAGTATTAACATTTATGAAGACACTTGAGTGAAATTGTATTATTGTCTCTATGTCTCTTTGAAGGTTGTGGTAACCTGTATCTGAACTGTTTAATGGATAAATTACCCTGTGCTAATTGCCAGGATGTTTGGGAGAAGGAGAATTAGGCCTATTGTTTTCTCAGGCCAAAAGGCTGCTGGAAATGTATAAGAACCCTGGGACATGATCCTACTTCATCTCAGATCTGCTTTGGGTTTCAAGAGGGGGAAACCTTAAGCCCTAAGGATTGAGATCCCCAGTCACTGACTGGAGCCACCCTGAACATGGACATTGGACTCTAACCTCTGGACTATTTCTAAAAGGACTTTTGGCAACTACAAGCTCACCTCTGCTACGTATCTGAACCTCAAGAATTGAATTCAAGTCTGTCTGTACATTGATCTTTTAAGCAGATTTTTGACAAAAAAGCCTGTTAAACTTTTCCCTGGCAGTCACAGGCGTGGATCTGGGGGTGCTGTAGGTTCTGCCGCACCCCCTGGCTGGAAGTGGTTTCCAGCATAGTCCGGGTTTACAGTTTGGTTCTATGGCTCTCAGCCCCCCCACTATATACATTGTTCCAGCCCCTGCCTGCAGTCCCAAACCTCCTCCCGCTCCTTGTGGGACGCCAAAAGTTTCTGCTGGCCTGACAGCTGCCAAAACCTCCTACTGCCTCCCCCCAAATGCTACCGCGCTGCTCTGCGCTGCATGGGCGAAACTGGCCGGGGGAGCATAAGACAACTGGGATTCGCTCTCCCGGGACGTCCCCGGGGGCGGCTGCCCCGACTGCCGGAGCCACGGCCAGATTTCATCCCACAGAAACTCTCGGGGGGTCGTTTCCCTAAAGCTGCTGAGTTGCTTCCAGCCCAGACTCCGGGGCCTGGGCAGCAGAAGTGACCCAGAGCGAACGGGCCCTGTCTGCTGTGGTTTAAACAGGCCAGGCCCTTCGGCAGTTGTTTAAATCAGCCGGTCAGTGACCTGAAAACTTTCAAACCATCCCCAGAGAACTCCCGTAAAGCAGTGCTTTTCAACTTTTTCCGGGTAATACAGGTTGAAAATAATTTTATTCTCAATTTCCCATTTAACTATTAAAACTGGTTTGTTCTTGCA